TAATATATATAAAATTTTGATAAGGTGCATTCACTGTAAAGAAAAAAAATCAGCACGAAACAACTTAGTTTTTTTTGTGAAACTGAATTTTCGGTGTTTTAGCAACTGTCCCAAGAATATTAATTAAATAGGTCTGCAAAAAAATTCAAGAACTTGCACCAAGTACCACCAAAGAATGACAATTTCAAAATTCAAAAAAAGTATAAAATACCATACAAAAACATGAAAATATAATTATTGACAAAATTAAGCACATTTAATCTACTTTTAATTTGGCAACTTGTTTTACTTACGTTATACAAAATATTAATCGCGTATTATTTCAACGACTTATTTCGATTACCTTCACATTTAATTCACAGCGCAGTGATGCCACAAGTAGTTTATTGCTGAAGGAATATAGAAATCTTTTGCGAAAAGTACCTCTGTGGATCAGCTATAAATTTACGGACTTACAACGCTGAAATTCGGGGTTCGATTTCACGTGATGGCAAAGTGCAGATAAGAAATTGTTTAGCTTTGTACGACGAAAACAACAACATCTTTCCGAAGAGGAATCTGCATACAGTGAAAATATTAATCGATGTCCAATCAAAAGTCGCCCCCCAATGGCACAGCGGCGCATGTCTGCAGACTTACAACGCTAGAAATCGGGTTTCGATAACCGTAGTGGGCAGAGTAGAGATAGTCCTTTATGTACCTTTGTGCTTAACTACAGACCAACCGTGGAAAAAGCCTTCAGTGTTCTCTATGCAAACAACACAAAAGCGAACGTTTGGGGACAATATTTTAACACACTTCACGCCTAGAAACCATGTTTTAACACACTTCAGACCAACACCTTCATCTACAAAGTGAATGTTACGCTTACGGAAAAGAATCCTACGACTTAAAGAAGTCATTACATGGAAGCTGTGTATATCTTCTCGTAAGATAATAAACAAGTGTATATCTTCTCGTAAGATAATAAACAAGAATTGGAAGTTGATGAAAACACACTACGAAATCAACGAATGATTTCGTGAAGAAACCAAAACCAGAATAATATTGTTCGACCATGTACCTATCAAGTCATCCAATACAGATCCAATGAATATGTGTGACATGAGTTTGCTTAAACGTTATTTTAGAAGCCAATATTTATGAATAGCGAAGGATCTGGGAAATATATTTGTTCAAAGATTAACTTCGATATCCTACACAGAAGCTTGTTGTAAGAAAACTGAAATGTCAGGTAATAGTACCTAATCATGATCATCAGGCTAAGCATAATGAAAGAAGAAGTTTCAAGAAACCGGTAATACTTTTCTTATAATGTGAGATTAGTCTGACCATTTTAAAAGCAGGTTTAGGTATTCCAGTGATGACTGGAAAGCTGTATAGTGGTTACCTACTATAACGTAACATCCTTAGTTAACAATAAAAATTGTTTATCATAATTGCTTGTATTCTTTTTTTTTCTCTTCAATTTCAATTTTTTTTTTCTGCAAACACCCATGCTTTGAATATCGACTGTTATTTGCTTTTCTAAATTCATCCCTTAATTAATATAAGTAGTAGTAGGTAATTGCATTCATTTTTGTGACATTTTTAAAGTAAATGATGAGCATTGTACAGTAATGAAGGTGATTAGTTATTTTGTCTTATATTATATATTCATTATTATCAACTAAATATAACTACAACGGTAATAAATATAAGTTACTTTGTCATATAGTTTGTATAAATTAGTATGTATTTTAGTAACAAAATAAACAAAGACAATGAGAAATAACCCAGTTAACACATGACGTTTCTACAACGTTGCTGAATAGTTGTGCATTAGTTTTTCGCATGCCACAAGCCTTGAGCTCCCACGTACCCTACATTAAACACGGTTTAATTGCATCTCGCATATAAATCACCATGCAACAACCCTCCACCAGTAGGGTTTTACTAATGCACAACTATTCAGCAACATTATAGAAATGTCATATGCTAGCTGGGAAGTATAGCAGTTGTATCAAATTAAGGCTTGATACAATTTCCTATCTACAGTTGTTTCGGCGTTTTTCTCTTGTTTCTCCTATGCCTCACATTAACTCCCACACCCAGTATATTTATAATGATTGACAGTGTTGTATTTCTTTATTCTCTTTTTAAAGGCGTTGACGATAAAATTGTCACAAAAACATCATACATGGTGTTATTTTAGATCCGAAGTAACTCCCAGATAATCGATAACATATTGCTCAAAACACGACATGATGCTTTAAAACAAATGACCATATATTATAATACATGTCTTCTTGTTAACTTAAACATCTTTTCATCGAGTTAGAGCTATGGAGGATAGCTTGCAAACCTTTGTTTTTATGTGAATTAATTATATTTATGTTGGAAATTAATATGGCTTGAAGGTGGGGGTTTGAAAAAACACTTCATATAACCATATCAGTGTATCTATTTACATCTCCCGATGGGACAACGGTAAGTCTAAGGACTTACAACGCTAAAATCCGGGGTCTGATTCCCCGCGGTGGATACAGCAGATAGCCCATTGTTGTTTTGCTGTAAAAAACAAATTATCTATTGATGTACGCATATGCAAGTGTAATGTACACAGAAGTCGGATGTCATATTTTAAAGTTTTATTACGCATTTCGATCGTATGTTATAATTAGAGGGGTACTCAGAAGAGCGCATACCTCCGCCACGCAGCGTCGATCATATTCGGCCTCTCAGAAAATACAAAAATGTGTCCGTCGTTATCATCGGACACAGACAATTTTTGGCAGGACAATGAGTAATAATATTATACATAAATCCACCAAGTTTCATCAAAATCCGATGATTTTTGACTGAGTTAGAGTGTAAAAATAGTGTATAAAATCGGTTCCCATATTAATAGACAGGGACTTTTTTCTTTTAGATTTTCTTGACCTTCCAAAACTAATCATTTCTTAGTTGGTTCATAGTCCAAGTGTATACCAACTTTCGTTCAAATCCATTCAGCCATTTTCGAGAAATCTTGCTGACAAACACTCACACACACACACACAGGAGTGAAATCATAACCTCCTTCACCTGCGTTTCGGAGGAAATTATCAAAACTTTCATTTAAATAGATAAACTGGTGTGCCTTACTTTCAGCGAAACAGTAAAAACGAAGTGATTTACGACAACTACATACCTTTAAGCAAAACCATCATAAGCTAAATGACGTTGGCACAATCGCTCAAACATTATAACAATACACAAGGGTTACTTTATTAAATAAAATGCACATGTAACTTTATTTATTAAGCTTGGAGGTTTCTTAAGAAAATTCGCGCAAATCTACATAAACGCCATCTGCGCATAGCCGTCCATAATTTGAAATAATAAACTAGAAGAAAGGTAGCTAGTCTCTAGCAACCAACGCTAACTTTTCAGCTACTCTTATCTGACCGAATACTGGGAGTTGACTGTCATCCTTAGAGCACACCCAGATCCTCAAAGCGCGAAGCGCCTTGTTGTGGTAACGGATCATGAACTATGAATCCTCAGATTCACAGTTAGAATACGTTGACCATCTAACTACATCCGGCCCTAAGTTGTTCATTATCTGTCTTCCATTATATTTGTTCGATTAAATGAAAAGGAACGCCAAAATGAAGCAGAAAAGTAACAGCAAAACTAACAACTACTATTAAATATAATTTTACTAAAAATGCTATTTAAACTATGCCTTATAGACCAGTTACTTAATTATTATATCCAGAAAGTACTTCAAAGATATAAAAAAATGTTTCTTTATAGTTGATATGATTTTCTTTTTCGAAGACATATTTAACTTTGCTATGTAGCACAAATATCAATACATCTATACTGTGGTTTCAAGCAAAGTTTAAAGTTAATAATAATTTTCCCATAAATGTCACGTAAATGCCTCAAAATGCAAAATAAATGTACCTTTTGCATAAGACCACAAGTTATAAACATTCACAGTCACTGTTAAAATTTACACCTCTTGGGTTATCAGTACACAAATGCTTTAAGCAAAATAGAAAAACTAAAAATACAGATTGTACTAACATACAAAAATATATTTCTGACTACCTTAGAACGGAGAATTTGTTTAGTATTGATTTTTATCTGCTACAACCAAAGTGAAGGAAGCGAATAGCTTTTTACTTTATCTAAGAAAAATAGAGGCCTTTGTAAGAGGGCAGACAAACTACGTAGTGTAACTTCATGAGTCACGAGTCATTATAATCAAGAAATATATGCATATATAATTGCATTATATACATATATATATATGTAAGTAAATAGTTATGCTTTATACATCAATAAACTAGTGACCTGCACAGTCATCACTTTATGTTACGTGTATCCTTGTTCTCCAGTTTCTCGCAAAATATTTCCAGGAAATGTTCCTAAAATACCGCTGGCATGTATGCCATCAATTACAGAACGAATACAAGTTCTCGTCTAAACTACTTCCAGTGGGTTAAACGGGAGTAGCTTGGAAACTGGCATTCAACTTGCATGTTTGCATATTACAGCATTACAAAAACAAAAACAAGCACATCCTATCAATAAACAATCCATGGGGATAGAGTCGATTTATACAAAAAAAAAATTACAAGACTTAACCTACAACTGTAAAGTTTACGCGAGGCAAACAAATAACGTTGCTCTTTATTCTATTTGTTTTTTTTTCTATTGAGCAGAATAAACCTTTTAGCATTTATTGATTGCAGTGTATTGTTTGCTAGATTGTTATTCTTTTTTTTAGACTGCAGTGCAGTTTCGATGCATTAAAAGTTCTCTTCCGATAGTTTAAGAAACTACCTAAATGTGTGAAACTCGCACAAGTTATTCCTCTTTTATTGTAGTTTTCTTATAGAAATGTAAAGACACAGCAACGCTTGCAGCAAAGTATTCATACTATGTAATAGTAAAGCTATTGTAAACATACATGTATTATTTTAAATTTACTGAACAAATCTTAATAAACAATGGGTTTTACTTACCCACTTCTTGTCCTAAACAGTCAGCAGAAATAAGACAGATAACAGCAAAACCTATGAACAAGTGACGAGTTTTCCTCATTTCCACGAATACTGACGGTATTTTACTTGATTGTTAATTATACTTTAAGTTGCTTACACGCAAGCATTAGTCTGTTGTTTAACAGCAAATGCGTTTTGTAACTGCCAGTGTTTAAATAAACTTTACTGAGGCTTTATGGGTACGTACAATACAAGCAAAATAGAAAAAAATATATAATTTCTTGAGCAGCGTAATATTCCATCTTATTTTAATTGGTCATGAAATTTAGGTATTTTAATACAGCAGTTTGAGTGGTCAAGCTTGGGCCAAGAAATATCTTTTGAATTCAGCTATACTTTTCGTGATAAGAAAAGAATCAAACCATCACACAGAGTAGACAACTTAACAAGATTGTCAGGCACCCGCTACCAAGTTCGTAATGCCTTACCGCACAGCGTGCACTCAAGAAGACCACCACTGACTGAAAGCTTAATGAGGCAGGCAGGTAGGCGGGAGAGCTGTTCTCTCTCCAAACTTGAAAAAAAAAAGAAATGATTCCCCTAGTGCCATCTAGCGAGCTACAGCTTATATAATGAAAATTGAAGAATCGGGTCTGACGCATTGTGAATAACGGTCTTGATTCAGTAATTGCTCTCTTTTTTTGCTTTTTTAATTAGATACATAGGGAACATTAATCTTAGAAAAAAGCTTTCATACGTGTCTCAAGTGCGTTTCTAAGAAGTTGTTTTAATTGCTCTCTGATGAATCTAAATTCAACGTATTGTTAGGATCTGCATTTGTTACTTTTTTTACTACTTATCTATAAACTTGTACAAGAAAAATAAACAGTATTACTTGATACTCACTTCATTGTCTACTATTTCTTGTATGCACGCTAACAGGCTAACAATTATCATATTTACACCTTAATTATAGTCCTATCATTATGCAAATATAATTTACTGGTTTGATTAAATCATCTAAGTACCAACGTACTTCGGATTTTATGTAAAAGTTCGATAATGAAAAATGATTTTTGCTCAAGTGCTTCTTTTCAAACCCCTGGTTTTTGAAATTGCATCTAAAACTGAATTAATAACAGAGTTCCCTCAATGTTATCATAAGCTTCAAAAATAATAAATTAATTGAATCGTTTTCCCCTGCAAATACGATGCACACACACAAATAATAAAAACAAAGACGATACGTTCAAATAAATGTAAAAAAAAAAGTTTTATTTAAAAATACGGTTATTCTGACATGAATAAGTGGTTTAAAAAGAAGATATGTCATTTTGAAATAAGCTAGTAAAACAAAGTGCATAACTTAATTATTTTTCCCTTATAGTGATTTTAACCATATATTTATATTTTCAGACATCAAATACAAGAAATAGCTAAAATCATAACACTGCATGCTTTATTTAATATTGTTGGTATGCTAGAAACAAATAATATTGCAGGGATGTTTTTTTTTAAGCAGCGAATGGTTTGTATGCAACTAAACAAATATATTGTTCATGAAACAAACTTATTATACAAAATGAGAAAGGCAGTATTAAAACTTATTATGAATGAGTCATATAATAGGTGTCAGCGGTACAATTATATAGCGCTTGAAACTATCAATGTGAACATTTTAGTTATTAAGTTACCATAATATTACGTTTTTTTGAATACACGTGTCACTGTTATGAATTTATCTTCAACATCTTAGCGAATCCGTATTATCTGAAGAAGTTTATTGTGATATATGCGCCGAATATATAACAATAAAATATTTCCGTAAATTAAGTCTGACACAAAATTATCTCGTTTTCAAACAAAAAGGAAAACTGTGGGCTACATTTAATTTCATTTCTGTGTCATATTTTGAGAAATTGGAGTAAAATATCTTTTTTCCGTATAACAGCGGTAATTTTACGGACTTACACCACTAAAATCCAAGGTTTTATTCGTGGCGATGTATACAGCAGATAGTCCAATGTGTCTTTCTTGAAAAACAAATAGACAGAACTTTCTTAAATTTTTCTCGACACAGAAATAAGATACTCAAGCAGCCGCATTGGAAAGCCGTTAAATAACAAACAAGTAAAAGTTAATATTAGAAAAATAAGATAGATGGGGCATAAGTAAAAATTTGAATTAACAAATGAAAAAAAGGAATATAAGTAGGAATAACGTAAGATATAAAAATGTTGATTGTGCGAAATAAGAGCATTTTGCAGGAATAAATTAAATTGCTACGAGATAATATTATTTAAAGATATCGGTCTTACCATTATGAAAACTTGTTGGAGTAGATAAGCCAAAAGTGTTTGAAAGACGAATTGAAATATTTTCCACACTTCAAACGCTCCTACTGCATACTGAAACTTCATTGTAATTTCGCATATTTATTAAACGTTTGATAGTAAAAGATCAACGAACATTAAAGCAGTTTTCATATAGAAGTACACGATTTCATAATAATATTTATAATTAATACTAATCTTAATATTTATCACTTAATTTTTTGATGTACACTCAGAATGTTGAAAAAATAAGAAATGACATTTTTTTTCAGTCATTAAAAGTCCGATTTTTAAATATTTTTCTTTGAAAGTTGCCGGCTATTTTAGCGATAACAGCATCCAGGCTTTCTAAGCACTTCAATTTATTACAGTTATAAGAAAAAAATAGCGGAGATTAATTTTGCTTTCTCCTCTTGATTCTACTATAAATCTGTTATCTTAATATCTATTTCAGCATCATATATTGCAGTTCACAACATTTTTGTATTCATTGTTGAGTACTAGCATATTATTAAACTGACGTAAAACAAAGACGTATGAACATAATGATATTAGTTTATAATTACACAATGGACTATCGAAACACAATTATTAGCGTCATAAGTCCGAATACTTGTCGCTGAGCCACTTCGGGGGAGGGGTAGGGGGTATGTAAAGAATATACCACATGTTTCAACAGAATATGTTGTCTACATAAAATAATTTTCATTATGCTCATAAATCGTTATTTGTCAATTTACTATGGTATTAGCATAACATGCTTCCATACATACACAAGTACTAACATATGTTTACACAAATGTTAAATATAAGTACATCTTTACTATTCTTCTGATCTTGAATACTTTATTTTAACTTTAACTGTGTTTTGTTGCTTAAAATAAAATAAAAATATTCTATAACCGTTAAATTACAACATGTTATATATCAGTACTCTTGTTGCTTTCTCAAGAACATGAAACTATACAAATCAAAGCAACAAACCGAAAAACCGTTAAAAATTTGGTGTGAAAAAGAGGTAACAAACTATATATGATGCCTTTTTAACAACATGTAAAAGCCGTATATTATTATTCAGTCTCTCTTGTTTTTCCTTGTATTGTTTCTTGTGTTAAATTTAGCCCTTTTTAAACTTGACTTTCAAATACCACCAACTACATAGAACAATTCATACATTGCCGCACGATATTCAAGCAAAACCTGTTTACTACACAAATATTTTTAGATTCTCTGACGAGTAATAAAATAATTATTTTGTGTATTAATTTCTTGCAATTGTTTACTCTATTCAATTAATCATAAGAATAACCATATTCAAGTAATCGTAAGAATAATACGGTCAAAGAACATCCTTCTTGTATCTGTAAATATTGACGTCAAACGTAATTTAACTTTTACGAACAAAAATTTAATTTTCAAATCTATAAGACATCACAGTTGACCTTAGGTCGTATTTATATATCGTTATTTGTATGATAAGTGCATAATTTCTGTTTAGATTTTAATGACTGTACTATTCATTAGATAATACGTCCATAGAATACCTAAATACAAAAGAAAATTAATACTAAATGAAAAAATATACATTACATATATATATAATAGAGACTTTTTATATTTTTCAGACTAGTAATGCATTGATAGAATACAGCATTAAAAGAACATTATACGTAATGAGAATCAACTTAAATGTCTTCCTCTGGGAAGAAATAATAATAACAAATATAAGGTATGGCTGAGAAACGTGAGGAGAGGTATTATTCGGCGATTTTTTTTCTTCCAACAGAAGGATTTTTCATGACACTTCTTCTTCAATTTGTTTTAATAAGACACTCACACTTAGATGCTTGATTTAAGTTATAAAATGGGAACCAAGCCTGCTTTATTGGTATCGTACGATAATGATTCCCTGGGTAAATATCCAATACTCTCTAAGAATAAAACCTGCCCTTTTTAAGGGATTAGCCTTCATTTTGATGTACAGTGTGTATAATTACAGTTTGCGCTTTATAGTGTAAGAAACCCGGAAATAAAAAGAAAAAAAAACAACGATTAATATAACGCTAAAGAAGGAAAGCTATAAAACGCCTCATACGTTTACGTACAGTTTCCAGCTAGATAAATCACTACATTTCACATAAGAAAAGATAAGGTACTTTTATTATATATAATTACTTAGGAAATAAAGTACAGTTCATGCACAAAATGTTAATGTTTACAATACTAAGAAAATTGAGACAGTATAACAAATGGTTAAAAATAATAACTTGTAGTAAAACATGAGGATATCAGTTTACTTAACAACAGTATCGTCTAGTCAATTGTTCTGTGAAAAAAACAAAACAAAAAAAAACATTATTGGATCGTCCTTGAAAATTGCAATGTGGAAGTAGAATGAGTTATTCTGTAGCATATTATCTGACACTGTGATATTCCGAAGTTTACACGCTGTATCATCCAGTATCCCGACCAAGAAGTACCAGTGACAGCGGCAAGAGCTGTTTATCATAGATTATGTGTAGTTAAATTGACTATTTCAGTTTGTTGTGATTTACAGTAGTTACTGATGCAAACGGAACATTTAGATATATTTTTAAAACAAAAGGAAATGAGGAAATTTTCTATAAAAAATAAAATGAACATTTGGATCAATAAAGATATGATAACAAATACTGACGTAAAATAAAATTACTTCTTTCATGTATCCAACTTAGATCCAAGTGCTTTTGTTTTATTTATTGTCAGTAATGCTGCTTTATAACGAGATGTAGCAGGTCTTGTAACATTAAGAATAAAGATAATAGTTTCATACGTTGCAAAAATTGTGTGTGTTGTGGCTATATCACATAATAACTTGAAATATATTGTCGGAATGAATAATGACAAAAATAAGAACTATATATTAGCAACTTATTTATATATATCGTCCTTCAATTCTTCCACTGGCTTTCATTTTTGCATTGTATACTATTGTTACATTAAGATTCAATGTTAAAAATAAAACATTGTTTAAGTTTTAAAAGTGATTGATACATAATGAACGAAATAACAATCGAAAAAACAACAACAAATGTTTAAGAATACTATT